TCTTCACCATGTGTTCATCTTGTAACCATGTGTCATGTTCTGTTAATAAAACGCTCTGCAGAGGAGGTCCTGTGGGAGACAGTGTATTTGAGTCTGGGGTTCCACTGTCTGTCTTTCTGCAGGAGCTGTATGAAAATCCCTTACTGTGTATTTCAGTTCTTCTTTTACAAAACCTACATTTTTTAACCCAACATTTTTGGTGCCGAAACCCGGGAGTCAAGATCCAATTGTCCAGGACCGTGTGGGACCAAGGCCAAGAATCTGTCGACAGCCATCCCCCCTTCGCCGGACGGGGCCAATTTGGTCCAGCCCTGCCCTGGGCATCTTGGTAACAACTCCAGAGGATCTGCTCTGCACAGCAAAGTGTAGGCCAAAAGCTTTTGATCAAAAGTTGGTCAGGGACCATTTAAGTTACAGCTGTAATCGCAAGAATATTTATCGAGACCAAGTCTTGTTGACGGATATGGCATCTGGGTATTCTGTGTGTTAGAGTTTGAGACTCTGTGTTGTTCTCGAGACAGTAAGGTATGCAACTGCCACAGCAGGGATATATTTGACAGATATGGCATCTGGGTATCCGGTGCCTGCGAGGGCCTGGAGTTTGAGACTCCAAAGTGTACACGTAACGATAGGTGTTTTGCGTCTATATTGGTTAAAATAAAAGAAATATAATAGGCCTTAAAATAGGAGTGACTGTGTGAGGAAACAATCGAACCGTTAGGTTCTGTTGTTTCATACTAAAACAGCAGGGGTTAATACAGTAAAGCTCATGTGGATGCAGAGGAAAGAATTTCTCACCTGAAAAGGTAGAAGCAGTAATTAACACAACAGTTTTTGGGTGCTGTCCTGCTGAATAAACATCCAGTGCATAGAATACCCTAGGTGTTTGTACTGGACTAAATTCTTTAAAATTGGTAAAGGTCAAAGTAAAGTCAGGGATAATTTAAAATCTACGATTAGAAGTTTGTAGAAGCGCAGGATCCAACAAAAAATAAACACTTAAATATATATTGTTTAAAAAAATATGGATTTGAGGGACACCTCTATTCCAAAAATAATAAAATAATGAGAACTAAATGATAAAATAACTAAAGTGAGCCAGGGAGGTAAAAGAATTAAAAAGGATGAGTTCAGGGAAGAGTATAGAGAAGATCATAAGGGGTGTGGAAAGTTTGTGTCAGATTGATCCAAGTAATCTAAAATACTTGCAGAAGTGGAAGTAAAAGTATGAAATAGATTAGATAAGTAGATCAATGGAGGAATGTTATTTGCTGACTAGAAACAAGCACTAGTGCAAAAATTAGATAAATATGTTATTATTAAAAATTAAATAAATAGATCTAATGTTGTGTTTGTCCGTCTTCTAATGTTATGTGCTTCCGTCTTTAAAGTTATGTTTGTGGGTCTTTTAAGTGGTTTGTGCATCCAAAAGATAATGAAACCCTGTTTAGAGGGAGACAACTTTAATCTGCAGCAGCGGGGGTGTCTGTTGGTGGATCACAGACTGACAGCCTTCCTAATGCGCCTGCAGGGTCTCCAAAATTATTAGGTTCGGAACCAAAAAATTTAAAATAAATGACCCACCAGAAAATTATTTTAGTCATGCAAGCTACATACAGGGAATAAAAAAAAAATTAGAGGGATTAAATAAGTGGATTGTGCAAGCTAAAACATAGGAAAAGCTATGAAGTGTAGTTTGGACCATAATTGGGCTCAAGTGAGGGGCCAGTGGTCACAGGGGAAAAACAATGGGTCACGTAGAAAGCACAATAGGTGCTACAACTGTGATAAGGAGGGCCACTTTGCTCGAGAATGTCCAGACACCCGCAGAGTGACCCTTGCCGTCACCAATGTTATGAACAGCGCTGACGCCAGGAGTCATGTGCACCAGCAAAAAATGCAGTTAATTGTGGACCCAGTGGAGATCCTGGATCTACAGCAAATTTCCTTTTCTTTATTAAACACCAAAGAAAAACCATACTGGCATTTAAACATACAAGGGGTAAAAGTAAAATTTCTGTGACACCGGAGCCGATAAATCTGTTCTGAGGGATACATTACCTCAGATTAAACCGGGACCAAAATGGATTACAGTAGTCTCTGCTGATGGGAGAATGGTTGTTCAGTGCATTTCTGAAAAACAATTGGTCACTGATGAAGAGGGATTCAC